TCTATTCATTTCTTCTCCCAATCTTTTGATGGAGTTGGATGTTTTCTTCTTGTAAAGTTCTACAAGTTTCTTGTATATCCTGGAGTCTATCCTCAGTTTAAAGAGTAACTATACCTTGCTTTCTCCACAGGGTAGTCATGAAAAGTCTCCATTAATTTAGTTGCTTTTTAAAAATTTTTGTCTTTTGGGTCATTCCTGGTGATGTTCAGTGCTTATTCCTGGCTGTGGGTTCAGGGATCATTCCTGGGTGTGATGGGGGGCAGGGGTGGACCATATGTGGTGCTGGTCTCAAACCAGGGAAAACTGCATGCAAGACTGTATTGCTATCTCTCCAACATCCCATTTGTGCATTTTTGAGCACCTACTTTCTGCTATAGCTTTTATCATGTATTAAAGTTATACATATGGGCAAAAGATTTAACCAGTTTACCTTCAAGTGACCCAATTTATTAATGGATATATAACTGATTAATTATAAAAGAGTGAACATTTTCCTGATCATTTGAAAGAAACACTTTTCCAACAACCAAAGGAAATGGAAATTTTGGTCTTTTTAGTAGCTGAACTCTCGAGAAAATTATTGGGATGGTAATTTAGATAAAATGGGAAGGGCAGGGAGAGAGCCAAAAGCAAAAAAGCAAAAGCCAAAAGCAAAAGTTTAAGAATGACCTGCTAGAGCTATTTTTCAACCAAAGTTTATTTCCAAAAGAAATCAAAGATTTTCCCCTGCATCTGGGTTCCAAGCCTAAAGAGATTACCATTAAAGTCAGCTAGTCAAGGGTAAAAATAAGAGTGTAGGAGGATTCATTTTGAAACGTTGTCAGCAACCAGCTGGAAAAAATAGCAGCTGCTGTGATTACTAGGAAATTTGTTGGAGGGTGTAGAGGTGTATCAGGTAATCTAATCTATTACCTATTTCAGTGGCATGTGGCTGGTTGGATCAGCTTTTCAGTTTAGAAGAAAATAGCATCAAATAGGAAAGAAAGTGGTGTGGTTATTTTCAGCTCTGGGTTCCTCTGACCAGTGTGAATTTGTTGTTGATCAGCTATGATAGCTGATCCCAGATCAGTGATCTGATCATTACTGAGAAATAACTTTGGACCCAATGTGGATTTGGAAGACGGAGGTAGGGGAAACACCAAAGCTGTGATAGGCCTCCTTCCACCCTGTGATGCTCAGCTTTCTTTTTTTTCCTTTTTTGGGGGGAGGGGGTCACACTCAGTAATGCTCAGGGGTTACTCCTGGCTCTGCACTCAGGAATTACTCCTGGCTGTGCTTGGGGGACCACATGGGATGCTGGGGATTGAACTCTGGTTGGCCACCTGCAAGGCAGACGCCCTACCCACTGTAGTATCACTCTGGCCCCAATGCTCAGCTTTCTAGAGCCTCAGTGAAAAGGTTTGGCAAAGTAGTGGGAGTCACACTCTCCTGTTTTCCTACAACAGCTGGAAGACATGCTTTGGAGTACAAGTCCTAGTACAGTACTGGTAGACACAAGCGTGCAGATCCTCATGGAAAGCCTGTTTTTGTCATCAGTTGTTCTGTGTTCCAGGTCTACCAATTGGTGGAGACGGACCATTGTACCTGGTGCTTTTATAGCTACTTCTCTCGACCTGCCTGTGACGTCTTTCACTTGTGCTCTGCCTGCTAACACTTTCATATTCCTAAAGACTAAACCCATAGAGTCCTTTTCTCTGGAACTTTTTCTTCTTGCCCGTCCACACCACTTCTGCTGCCTGATTCAGCTGCTCCTCCTCTTTCTCCTTCTTTTTTTAAAATTTTTTTAAAAAATTGTTATTAGTGAGACACCATGAGCTACAGTTGTAGACTTACAAATTTTATGCTTGGGTTTCAATTATACAATGATCAAATACCCATCCCTCCACCAGTGCCCCTTTCCCACCACCACGGATCCCAGTATCCCTCTCATCCCCCATCCCCCCTCCCACCCTGCCTCTGTGAAAGGGCATTCCCCTCTGTTCTCTCCTCTTCCTCCTCCTGCTCTGCCACTCCATCCATTTTACAATGGGGACCAGTTGCTGTAATTGACAAGTTTATCTAAAATTCAGAGGACTCGTAAAAACTAATGGATACTGATTTTGAAGATACTCGGCATTGAAAAAAAAAGATGTGCTTTTATTACCTATCTTTTGATAGTCAGGCTCTGGGTCATTTCTTTGCATATTGGTCTGCTGATGAGAGTTCTACGTTTTTATGTGACGCCTGTGATGAATCACTTATAATTTTTCAGTTCCTGATTTTTTTCATGGAGTTAGATGGCATTGGGTTAGCCAATTTAAGGATTCTATATTCTTCCACACACCTCGTATTTAATACTTTTCTTGTTCACACCTAACAGCTGCATTGTTTTTAATGTGACTCACCTTTATCAAGTCTTTGCAAAACATTCAACAAAGCATTTACAGAAACATGGATTGTTTTGTACTCATTTTCTGTTGATTTACATAATATTGAATTAAATAATTTAATTATAATAACACATACGACAACTGTACATAGTTTTGTGAACAATTAGCTGTTGGGAACACATTGCTCAGCTGATGGAAGAAACAATGCTTGGGCTTCTGAGAGTGGCATCTTTCATCTGGCACCAGTAGCATAGGGTTGGCATCCAAAGCGGTGAACATCCGGGAACCTGGCAGGTTAGCTAAGCCAAGTTCAGTTCAGGGAGCCTGCACTTGGTTGAACAAGTCTAGTGCTCATTCAAGCAGGTGCTCCGTATGTGTTAAATGGGTGTGAACAACTCACTGAGTGAAGGAGAGAATTTGGCTGGGAGGATAGGACATTTTCAGAACCACTGACTAGTATTTCAACTCCTAGTTGGCCATCCCTCACTATCCATGGGATGCTGGGTCCAAATCAAAAGGCTGGAACTTTCCCCCACTGTCTGTGGGAATGAGACTGCGAGGAGAAATCACTCTTCAATGAACAGGGCACAGATTTTGGGGGGAGTCTGCCAGCTGGCTCTTGAGCCCTGCCCCACCTTCGAACCCAGCTGCTGTCTTGCTGATGAGTGAAGTATAAAAATTTCCTCTGCGTCTCCCTGGACACCCTCCCCGCCACCGTGTCTTGTTTCAATGCCTTCTGCTTTGGCTCTGAGAGCTGTGGAGTATTCTGAGACAAGAGTTCCTCGCAAGATGGATGGGAGCAGTTTATAGTAAAATTCTGTCTGCACAAAGTATCTAAAGGATCCAGTTTCACAGCACAGATCTGGGCATCATTTCTGGTACAACCTGCTTCCCTGCAGAGACTTTCACTTACCTGTATGTATGTAAACACTACATAGACAGTATGGCTACACTGAGCAGAAACTCACATATATGTGTGCACATTTGCATAGAGGCGTTTTATGTAGGCACAGATATATATGCATGCAAGTATACATAGGTTTATAGATGGGTATCAGTGATTTCCCCTTCCCCCCAAACCATGGGGCATATCAGTGTGGACCCCTGGGAAATTGCTGTGGTTCTAGGACCAGATATTGCAATTTAGGGACTTTTGGCAAGAGATGGACCCTAATGACTGTCTACTCTTGATGTGTGTGTGTGTGTGTGTGTGTGTGTTTGTGTGGTCAGGGGGATGGTTAAATTCATGAGTGGACAGAGACAGGTGTAAGCCAGGGTGCTGAGACAGAAAACTCGGAATTATCTCCAGAAGGGAGTCAAGAAGCAGAAAAGTGTAGTGTTGTATTGAGTCAGACCATAAATCCTCAGTTTAGGCGATTCTACGTTCAGGTTCTCATACCGCTACCTACTGACTGCATATCTAGGTTGTGTATCGCTTTGTGTTTCATCTCTAAAAGAAGAAAGGCACAGGATCTCCTTCGGAGAGCTAGTGGGATGAGCGTTTTATATAGAAACCATGTCCAACCCTTAGCGCAACCCTTTAAAATGTGCTATGGTAAATATTAATGACTATGGGGATGTCACAATTGTGTCCCACCATGGGGGTGCTGCTTGCACTCAGCAGGGCCTGAATCAGACTGGTGAATGCAGTGGGGTATGAGAGGTATGCAGTGACTTTGGAAATGGGGGGAAGCAGGAGTGCAGTGTAATCAAAGAGTTGTATGTGGGGCAGTCACCTGCAGAGCAAGTGTCAAGATGATTGTCACACCTGAGCAGGGTCGGGATAGCTAGCATGGGCAGTTTGTCCCATCTGCTTTGAATGGCGGGGATTCTGAAATTCTCGGGGGCTGAGAGCTCAGGGAGATGGAGCTACTTCACGTCTATTTCAGAAACCAGGATAAAGTGCCTGTTGCTTCCCCTCCCGGCTCAGTCCGATCCAAGCCTGTTCTGCTTTATTCCCTATATTAGGAAAGACTCTCCTGTGACAGTCTCAAGATCTGGTGTCCGACACACTTGGGATGCGGTTCTTTTATTGCTGAGAAGGTTGGGACTTCACACGTGAGAGGGGTTGAGATGAATGAGCTTCCATTGTATTTATAGATGCTCGCTGCAATATCTCCCAAGGTATAAATAGAACAATGGAGTGTTGACAAAGGGGCCGGTTTTTCTGTAACTGTGGAAACCCTGCAATTATTCCTGGAACTCTACTCATTGTTTATCTGCATCTGAATTTTAATAAACAGGGTTCTTGCTGCTTATTCATGAATTTTCAAATGGAAATGTATCTCCCATTATTATCTCCTTCTTGTGAGTCAGGCCCCATCTTGCAAATTTGCAGCTGAGTAAATATACGGAACATTAGCAGCAATTAGATAATTGGTGCCCCGGATCAACCCACCCGCAGCTGTGCAGGAATATGGACGGTGCCAGTGTCACCTGGTACAGCCTTCCCCATGGCGCCACATGCTGCCAAGGCCTTGCAGTGGAGTACAGGCATTAGTCAGCCCCTGTTCTGGACCGCCTTCCTCCCAGGGGAACCCAGGTCCTGAAGGAAGGGATGCTCCTGATAGTCTCCACAAGTCAATGGAACATTTTATATCCGGGAAGCTGTTTTGTAAAAACAGGATGGGATCTTCAGGTAGGCTAATTCTTTCTGGGTCCTCTCTTTAGAGGGCAGATAGAACATGATGATTGGAGTTTGCATGATTCGTGATCAACGTCTGCATGACTAAGGCTCGAAACATCCTAATCGCTCCTATCTTTTTCTTAAAGTAATTAAAAATTTTAAAAAAATAGCATGGGTGGATACTTGGAACCAGTGAGAAAGCTGAAAGGGCTGGAGCACACACCTTGCCCACAGTGGTCAGAGGCTCCATCCCCAACACTGCATGATCCCCCCAGTTCTGCTGGATGTTACCCCTTGTGATCCCAAGCACTGCAGCGCCGAGCAGCAGTCTTGGAAGACCAGTGGCAAGTCTCAAACATATACAGCCAGTCCCTAGATTGCCAGCAATATTCCCCGGCCCTAGAGCACGGTGGAGAGGCCCAGGAATGCATGGGAGAGTACCTCTGCATCATTGAACACTGAATTGCTCACCATCACTTGTTTGATAAATCACATTAGCCCCCCAAAAAAAAGGAAGAAAAAGAAAAAGAAAAAATGAGCTTAGATTCCGAGCTGGGGAGAAAGAATGGTGGGTGAGAAATTCAGATTTTTGGGTTAGCCCCTATTGCTTTCTTTGGGTTAGCCACTTTTTTTTTAACCTCTGTCTGGATTTTTGGCCTCTGACAGTAACTTGGGTTTTCTGTTTTGTCTTGTGTTTGGGACACACCTGGGTGTGCTCAGGGGCTGCTCTGGTGAGATTGCTCTGGGGTTTGCTTTCAGGGTACCCAGTGGCATGAGGAGCCAGGAACTGACCTCGGGCTCCAAAATGTAGTCTCTTTCTACAACCCCTGGAGCCCTCTCCTTGGCCTGTAGTAAGTGTGTGGCCTCTGTCCTTGCAGTTGTTTTTCTCAGGCCGAAGAGGATCGCTTCTCCAGCGCTGCTTCTCCCAGGTCTCTCGGAGAGTCATGTGGTCCCTTTCAAGTATTTAAGCATCTTTTTTTTTCAATTGCTGTTAACTTCCTAGACACAGTTCTGTCACAAAAGGAAAAGTGGGGAGAGGACTTGCCCCTCCTCTTGCATCCTAGGGATGGGGGCACAGTCCAGAGCTCTGGTCCCTGCTGCCGCCTCTGTCAGATCTTCCTGCCTGCAGTGCTCAGGGCATACCCCAGACTCTCTGCTCAAGGAATCACTCCTGGCAGTGTTTAGGAACTATCTGTGGTGCCTGGCTTGACCACAGCAAGGTAGGCACCTGAATCCCTGTACAAGCTCTCCAGCCTGTGATATCCTTTAAGAAGACTCTAGTTTAACATCATTGACATAATAAAAGCATATTTCCCACATTGACTGCCTATTCTGCTGTATATCCATTTATACATTTTATCCCATAACCCATGAGATTGATTCTGTTATCTCTTTATCAGATGTACAACTAAAGGTTTAGGAAAATAAATAGTAAATATTCTAAAGCCACGCAGCTAATAAGGGGCTGAAGGGCCAGAGAAATAGAACAGGGGTAAGACTCTTATCTTACACTTTGCCAGTCCTGGTCCGATCCCAGTACTCCGCTGAGCACTACCAGGAGTGATCACTGAGCTAGCACAGAGAGAGAGAGAGAGAGAGAGAGAGAGAGAGAGAGAGAGAGAGAGAGAGAGAGAGAGAGAGAACCCTGAACACTGCCAGGTGTGCTTCCCAAACAATAAATTAAACCAAAATCCCAAACAAGCATCAGAGGGGGACTGACATACAAGCTGTGCTCACTGCTAAGCCCATCCTCTTGAATCCTGTGCCAAATAACAGGACTCACTTGGATTTGTGAGTCACTTGGATTTGTAGTTAAGGCCTGGTTCTCTCCTTAAGGTTGAGCTGTTAACTTAGAGTCTGCATTTCCATTCCTTAAATCATTTGTTTGTGTTGGAGAATAGATTAAAAATACAGGCAGTAGGCTGTTGATTTTTTTTTCTTTGCTGAATTTTCCCTTCCAGCTAGGAACTAGTTTTCCCAATTCTCCTCACTTGTTTTTTACTGTTGCCAACCCATCAGATGTATCAACCACCTGAAACGGGGCTGCGGGGGCAGAATATATTTGCAGACATTTTAATTTCCCTGGTGATAAGCAAATTAATTTTGTTGCAACTCTTTAACTTTCTAATTGAATGATGGAATGTCACTGAGTGTTTTACAGATGTAAGGTGGTCAAAGTTTTACCATCTATCAGAAAGAACAGCGCTGGCACCTGGTCGGGTAATTTTCCTGTGTCCTACTGCCCAAACCATCTCCCTGGGCTTGAGGAAAGTCATCTGTCAGAGGCGTTTTCACTCTGCAGTCCAGCCAGACTGCGGGTAGTCGCCTCTGCCAGGGGAAGAACTTTGCTTCATGTATTCACTTATTGTGAGCATCTGCTCTTGTGTTTCAGGTGCTGTTCTAGACTCCGTGTTAAGTCAAACAGGCCAGTCTCACTGCTGTTCCCCTGAGGCAGATGAGGCAGATGAGAAACTAATGGAAAAATAGAATGTGAACTCTTGGGAAAAAGAGCAAAGCAGAATACAGAAAATTGGAGGAACAGGTTCATAAGAAAATCCTGAGTAAAGCACGGAAGGGCATTGCGGCAAAAGGGAGCAGCAGACCCATGAGGCTGCTCATCTTCCCGTTAAATCTACTTGCTCACAGGGAATTGATCTGAATAGAATCTCCCATGATGTCCACTCTTGTGTCTTAAAGCTGCTTCCCTCCAGACAATTTCCTTTAAAGAGTATGTAATTGCATCAGCATCTCTTTCTCATTAGCAATTATATTGAAGAAGCAAGTACCACTGACACAAACGTGTGCTATGCGCTGTATCCAGACAAACTGACCATAGCATTTGGACAAACTGACCATACCCTGGGCTCTCACTTTCTGCCTCTGTTGGCCAGTAGACAATTTATGAGTCTGGAACATCACTGTGTCAGGAGATTGGAGTGAGTTTTCAGAACCATTCACTGCAGATGTTTATGTTGGTTATTATGGGCTAGAGGTTTTGTGAGGGAATGAGATTCTTTGTTTTGTGGGCCTCTTTGGTAATAATTTATTATTCTTAATTTTATTAACTCTTTCATGTCATTATAAAGCACTTATAATGAGCCAGACACTATTCTAAACATTTTTATATTATCTGATTATCCACCATGAGCAGAACAAGTTGGTTATTTTTATTGGTTGTCATTGTATAATTCGGAAAATAGAAGTGTGGAGAAGTCAGTCCTTTACCTGGATTGCACATAAGCTAAGCATCTGGTGTGGGTTTGGATCCCAGATCATCTGTGATGGGCATCTAGAAATTACCGGTGCCTGGGCACTGGTCAAAGCAGAAAGCTAATGCTTTTTTCTCCTCGCCCGGGAAAATGCAGATAGAAACCTTAGTATCTCAAAGATGCATAGTTGCATAACTGGGCAGATACCAGACTCAGAAGTACATTTGTTTTCACTCTAAACTCTGCTCAGCTGCCCTTCCCATGGCTCCCCAGTTCCAGGAATACTCTTTGAGGGTGGGGTTAAGGGGGGTGTTTAAGGGGGATGCCTAGAGTATCAAGACTAGCATCACACTTGAGCTCATATCCAGCAAGGTCCCTCCAACCCATCCGGTGGCTTCTTTCTTTCTTTCTTTCTTTCTTTCTTTCTTTCTTTCTTTCTTTCTTTCTTTCTTTCTTTCTTTCTTCCTTCCTTCCTTCCTTCCTTCCTTCCTTCCTCCTTTCCTTTCCTTTCCTTTCCTTTCCTTTCCTTTCCTTTCCTTTCCTTTCCTTTCCTTTCCTTTCCTTTCCTTTTCCTTTTCCTTTTCCTTTTCCTTTCCCTTTCCCTTTCCCTTTCCCTTTCCTTTCCTTTCCTTTCCTTTCCTTTCCTTTCCTTTCCTTTCCTTTCCTTTCCTTTCCTTTCCTTTCCTTCTCTCTCTCTCTCTCTCTCTCTCTCTCTCTCTCTCTCTCTCTCTCTCTCTCTGTTTTGAGGCTACGCTGGTGATTCTCAAGGCTTACTCCTGACCCTACACTCAGAGATCATTTTTGGCAGTTTGGGGTTCTATCATATGGGGTATTGGAAATCCAACCTAAGTCATCCACATGCAAAGCAATACTTTGTAACTGTACTGTGGCTATCTAGCAGTAATCAGGACTTAGTCCTGCTGCTGTGCTCAGGGATCACTTCTGGCAGGCTTAGGTGACATATGGGGTGCTGGGCATCGAACAAGGGTTGGTCATGTACAAGGAACGCACCCTACCCATTTTTCTATTCTCCAGCCCCTCTAACTATAGTTTTCTTGGAGCCAGATGACCATCTGTGAAAGACCCTGGTTTTGCTTCTGTCTAAAGATGAGAAAGGGGAAGTTTTGACTGGGACCTTGTGCTGCCCCACAGGCCAGTGGATGCCAGAAAGCCCCTCCCCTGGTTGCTGTCCTCTCCAAGCATTGTTCCAAGTCATTGACTGATTCATCTCTTTAAGGGCGCATTGGGGAGCTGGCTTCACAGCTTTTGTAAAGACAAACTTGAGTGAAATCAGAGGGTCATGCTGCTGAGTGAAAACATTTGTACACTGTTGTGTTCTAGGCCATTCTTCCATATGGTACTCTTGGCTCCGGAAGTCACTCTGGGTCTGGGGAGATGTGGAGGCTTAGGAAATCTCTGAGATTTTGCTTGTCCCAGGTGAGGGAGGCACCAGAACCTTGGAACTTGGCGGGCTCCCCACAGATGGTGGGTTTAGGGCAGGAAGAAGAAGCATTGCTCCTACTGGGGTGAGTGGTCTTTTCATAGACCCCATACTCTCAGCAAAGGTGGCCCTGGTCCCCTCTTCCAATCCACTGTTCTCTCTTACCCTGGTTTCTTGGTGTCTAAATAACCAGAAAGATCAGGAATGTCCAAATGGATTGATTCATTCAGTGAAATTAAACAAATCCCCCATTGTGTGATGGGGATATGTGTGTCAGCAGATACTCCTGGCCCCCAGGAGTTTGCTTTCTAGCGGAAGATCATCGATAGAGTGGGTTCGGGAGCACCTTAGTACTAGGTGCTCGGGAGGAAGCAGAGAAAGGGTGAAGTGTGCTGGGGCAGGGTGTAGGGCAGTTCCAGGCCCCTTGTCTTCGCTTAGCCCCACCCAGAACTGGGTTTTTATCATCTCAATTGCATGGGCTGTGGGGG